GGTCAGATATCAATTAGTGGAAAAATATCAGAATTGGTCTGCCTGTGTAAACGCAGCCATTGCGTTGCACACAAAATGTCACCCTGCACCAAGTGTGTTTGATTTGCACAGCAACGTGTCCTGGATGGTCAGCAATGATCAGCCCAATTCAGGCAGCCCAATAATGTTTTGCCCAATTATTGGTCTTTTGACCAATCAGATTAGATCTTTTGCCAATATTTGGGCAAAATATCAGAATTGGGCTGCCTGTGTAAACTCAGCCATATTGTGGAAGCCAAAGACAGACTTGTGATGTACCTTGTGGCATAGAAAGTAATGATTAAAGTTATACTTCTGACCAAAATGTAACCAATTCAAGTTTTTCTAGCGTTTGTAACATAAAGGAAAAGTTCACCCAAATTACAAATTTACGTTGTTTTCCTTACCCTGTAACAGGAAAATAAAACCAAAGCATTGATTGCTGTCATAAATTTTCCATAGACTGCTTACACAGTAAGGAAACCAATGTCTCATTTGTGATTTGGATGAACTATCCCTTTAATAACATTTACATCCATCCAGCCTTTTATTCCAATAGCATATTACTACAGCCATGTTGGACTGGGGGCATGTGTTAACCAAAACAATGACAAATGTGAGTGTACTGTAGCTGCTGGAAGCACGCTTTGGAACTTCTGCAGCCCCACCTAGATTAATCCAAGACCTGGATTCAAACTGTCACATCCTGTACTCCATTATAATCACTGTTGTAACAGGAAGACCTCCCTACGCTTTTATAGTGGTAGGCCTACGACCCACTCACAGGATACATGGAAACTTATTTGAAGGAAAGGGTTACTTACAATACGGCAGCAAAACAGCTCGAATTCGGCTAATGGGGTTTACACATGTAGGCCGAGTGTCGTCGCTCACCTGTACTGCGACATGGTTGGGCGACCAGAAGAAGTAGTCTCGACTATGGGGAACAAACTGCGTGTGAAGCCCAACTATAATTCTCATTACACTTTAAGGAGCACGGCGCGCCTGCCATAATCATAGTGCTCTCTGCTAATGCAAACACAGCAGGCCCCTTCTGACTGTTTAGAATGCTACAGTAGAGGATGAGTCAAGGTGGAGTAGACCTACTCTAGAGTGGGTAGTTCAATTGAAATCCTTAAAAGTCCATCCTTTCTCCCTGGCTTGAAGTAGATCAGGTGTCAAACTGATTCCACGGAGGTCCGAATGTCTGCGGGTTTTCGCTCCACCCTTGTACTACTTGATTGATGAATTAAGGTCACTAATTAGTAAGGAATTCCCCTCACCTGGTTGTCTAGGTCTTAATTGAAAGGAAAAAAACTAAAACCTGCAGACACTCAGCCCTCCATGGAATGAGTTTGACACCCTTGGATTAGATATTGGATAGGTGTACGCCAGGGATCCATCACAGGCGATATAATAATGGCGCCAGAGGGGATGGCTGCCATTTTATGGGCTCTGAACCAACCGTGCTATTTTGTTAGTTTTTTCGCATTGTTTGTAACTCATTTTGTACATAATGTTGCTGCTACCGTCTCTTATGACCGAAAAGAGCTTATGGACATCAGAACAGCGATTACTCACCTCGAACTGGACAAAGATTATTTCTTTAATGAGTCTGACGAGAAGGATATACTGCTTAAAAACGGTAATATCGTATGTTTCACTAAGATGTGGCTGAACGACGACATGGATAATATAGAGCTGGTTGGGTTTTCCGTGCATCGCCAGGACAGAGAAGCTACATCTTGTAAGAACAAGGGGCGGGGGTGTGTGTCTATTTGTCAATAACTCCTGGTGCGCGATGTCTAATATTAAAGAAGTCTCGAGGTATTGCTCGCCTGAGGTAGAATACCTCATGATAAGCTGTAGACCACACTATCTACCAAGAGATTTCTCATCTATATTATTCGTAGCCATCTATTTACCACCACAAACCAATGCTGGCACTAAGACCGCACTCAACGAGCTGTATAAGGCCATAAGCAAACAAGAAAATGCTCATCCAGAAGCAGCGCTCCTAGTGGCCGGGGACTTTAATGCAGGCAAACTTAAATCCGTTTTACCTCATTTCTACCAGCATGTCACATGTGCAACCAGAGGAGAAAAAAACTCTAGACCACCTTTACTCCATACACAGAGATGCATACAAAGCTCTCCTTTGCCCTCCATTTGGCAAATCTGACCATAATTCTATTATCCTCCTGATTCCTGCTTACAAGCAAAAACTAAAGCAGGAAGTACCAGTGACTTGCTCAATACGGAAGTGGTCAGATGACGCGGATGCTATGCTACAGGACTGTTTTCCTAGCACAGACTGGAATATGTTCCGGGATTCATCCAATGGAATTGAGGAGTATACCACCTCAGTCACCGGCTTCATCAAAAGTGCATCGATGACGTCGTCCCCACAGTGACCGTACGTACATCTCCCAACCACAAGCAATGGATTACAGGCAACATCCGCACTGAGCTAAAGGCTTGTGCTGCCGATTTCAAGGAGCGGGGATCTATTCCGGACGCTTATAAGAAATCCCGCTATGCCTTCAGACGAACCATCAAACAGGCAAAGCGTCAATACAGGACTAAGATTGAATCCTACTACACCGGCTCTGACGCTCGTCGGATGTGGCAGGGCTTGCAAACTATTACGGACTACAAAGGGAAACCCAGCCCCGAGCTGCCCAGTGACGCGAGCCTACCAGATGAGCTAAAGGTTGGTCATGGCTCACATTAACACCATCATGCCTGAAACCCTAGACCAGGGGTCTCCAACCCTGTTCCTAGAGAGCTACCCTCCTGTAGGTTTTCGCTACAACCCCAGTTTTAACTAACCTGGTTCAGTTTATCAACCAGCTAATTATTAGAATCAGGCGTGCTAGATTAGGGTTGGAGTGAAAACCTACAGGACGGTAGCTCTCCAGGAACAGGGTTGGAGAGCCCTGCCCTAGACCCACTCCAATTCGCATACCGCCCCAACAGATCCACAGATGACACAATGGAACCATGTCGTCCAAAAAGTTATACTTTTGAATCATCTGTCCATAGAACGTTCTTCCAAGAGTCTTGATGATCATCCAGGTGCTTTTGGGCAAACTTGAGTCAACTCTTTGGACGAGATGGGTCCCATTATGTCTGGCGAAAACCAAACACTGCATTCCACAGTAAGAACATCATACCAAAGGTCAAGCATGGTGGTGGTGGTGTGATAGTTTGGGGATGCTTTGCTGCCTCAGGACCTGGACGACTTGCCTTAATAGAAGGAACCATGAATTCTGCTCTGTATCAGAGAATTCTACAGGAGAATGTCAGACCATCCGTCTGTGAGCTGAAGCTGAAGCGCAGCTGGGTCATGCAGCAAGACAATGATCCAAAACACACAATCAAGTCTACATGAAAATTGCTAAAAGGCAACAAATTGGAAGTTTTGGAATGGCCTAGTCAAAGTCCAGACCTAATCCCAATTGAGATGTTGTGGCAGGACTTGAAACGAGCAGTTCATGCTTGAAAACCCACACGTCACTGAGTTAAAGCAGTTCTGCATGGAAGAGTGGGCCAAAATTCCTCCACAGCGACGTGAGAGACTGATCAACAACTACAGGAAGCATTTGGTTGGAGTCATTGCAGCTAAAGGTGGCACAACCAGTTATTCAGTGTAAGGGGGCAATTACTTTTTCACACAGGGGAATTGGGTGTTGCATAACTTTGTTTATGAAATAAATGAAATAAATATGTAATTGTTGTGTTATTTGTTCACTTATGTTCCCTTTATCTAATATTAGGTTTTGGTTGAAGATCTGATAACATTCAGTATCACAAATATGCAAAAGTTAGAAAATTAGAAAGGGGGCAAATACTTTTTCACAGCACTGTATATACTAGGCGGTGTTAGAGGAAGGCCCAAAATATTGTCAAAGACTCCGGTCACCCAAGTCATAGACTGTTCTCTCTGCTACCGCATGGCAAGCGGTACCGGAGCTCCAAGTCTAGGTCCAAAAGGGTCCTTAACAGCTTCTACCCCCAAGCCATAAGACTGCTGAATAATTAATCAAATGGCCACCCAGACTATTTACTTGTCTTTATACTGCTACTCTGTTTATTATCTATACATAGTCACTTTACCCCTACCTACATGTATATATTACCTCAACTAACCTGTACCCCTGCACATTGACTCGGTATCGGTACCCCCTGTATATAGCCTCATTATTGTTATGTAATTTTCTTGTGTTACTTTTTGATTTTTTTTTTTTACTTATTAGTTATTTAGTACATATTTTCTTAACTCTATTTCTTGAACTGCATTGTTGGTTAAGAGCTTGTAAGTAAGGATTTCACAGTGTTGTATTCAGCGCATGTGACAAATAAAATTTGATTTGATTTGACATGCTTTCATCTGTCTAGTCATTTCTAGTCACTGATTACACTAATCACTGATTACTGATTACACTAATCACTGTCACTGATTACCGATAGCACTAATCACTGATTACTGATTACACTAATCACTCACTACTGATTACACTAATCCCTGTCGCTGATTACGGATTACACTAATCACTGTCACTGATTACTGATTACACTAATCACTGTCACTGATTACTTCAAGGAGGGGAGAAGGGAAGGATTCAAATAGGGCCTGTGTCTTGGTAAAGCCACCTACTGGAGTAAGGGGGAATTGCTAAAAAATCCATTGAACCTCTACGCTACAGCGCCACATTAGTACCAAATTGACTACCATCACTGATTGACTCGAGTTGGCCGTTCGCAGCAGGTGGCCGTCCTATTGCCTCTGACCACAGAACATTGGCGGTAATATTCTGTTCATTTCCAGATTATTGTACATGTTCAATCGCCACTGTTCGTCGTACTGCGCACGGCCGACTTTCGTGTTGGTCTGTTTTGTCCTTTAACCACAGTACGTGGGTGGCAACCAGTGTCAATGTAACTGGATCAGGCTTTCAAAACAAATTACATCAGACTAATATTATTAAGAAAAAGAAAACATTTTTATTCAATAAGCACCAATTATTGTATAAAACATACTCTCACATACTGATCAAATCTCTGTTGTATAAAAATTCCATAAGAGTTGTCATTTTTTGTGGGGAATTTCTATATGATGGGTGGAATTTATGTTGAATCTAACTAGTTACCTATCAAATCAAAATTCTAGCGCAATAAAAGGAATGCTGTACAAAAACTACACATTTCCAAAAAGGCAAAAAACTGAAACAGTCACTTTGACAAACAAACTATAAATTACATACTTAACCTTAATCATTTGACTCATTCATGTTATGTGCGGTCAAGGTATAAATAAAACATTGAATTTAAATTAAATACTACGAGAAATTGTTGCTCAAATGAGAAATGTGTATAAAATGTATTTAAACAACTGAAAGACAATCTTCATGGATATGAAGTGACAAAAGTATAAAACAAATCTAATACAGTGCATCAAAATTTATTTGGTGGCAATACTGGTTGTTCCCTTGTTGGAATATGGACGTTATGTTATGTGAAATGTGGTATTGGCCGTGGTCTAATGGAGTAAACATCTCTTATAGAATGACCTAATAGGACAACCTGTAAACACGACCAATCACTGGAAGACAAAAGGTGACATTTTGACTAGGAGAAATATCTTTAGTGAGAAAGAATCTTGAAAGTTGACAGTTGTGATTTGAAAGTTGGTTTAAAAAACTCTGCAAAGCCATGATTTGGAGCTGGTCTGACAGACAGTATCCCCACTTTAGCACCATCTCAGTCAATCAACCAACCAATCAGAGGATGGGAGAGGAATAAGTTGATGACGATGACGACATGTTCATAAAGCAATGATCATGTATTTACACCTTTCCAGAGTGTTAAGATGACAGTGGATGGATGGGTGGATGGAGGAATGGGGGGGCAGGAGTGGTAGAGACTGTTAAAGGTCTATTAAACGTGCTCTATGGTCTCGATGCAGAGAATAATTAACTCGTTGGAGCAGCTGCTTGTTTGCTGTCCTAGAAGGGAGCCTGAGGACAAATTGGACGACTGGCCCACGATGGAAATGTCGTTGACCCGCCACGACTCGCAGGACCGGTCTACCGCCATGTTGCCAAACGTATTGGAGCCATGCCAGATGCTCTTCTTAGGCCTGTTGGGAGCGATAGACAAATATAATGGGAGAGTGTGTGGATACAGCATATACACAGGCAGATGTACACCAGAGGAGGCTGGTGGGAAGAGCTATAGGAGGATGGTCTTATTGTAATGGCTGGATTGGAATAAATGGAACGGAGTCAAACACGTGGTTTCCATGTGTTTGTGTTTGGCCATTTATTCAGCTCCAGCCATTACAGTGAGCCCGTCCTCCTATAGCTCCTCCCACCAGACTGCTATGATGTACACACATAGAGTACATGTGAACACACACACACACACACGTAAAAAAATAATACAGCATACATAACAGATCACACAAACACCAACTAAAAGTTTCAATGACCTTCTATTTAAATAAACCTCCCAGAAAAAAGTTTTTAAAAAACCTCATGGGACTTGAACTAATGTAGCCCCAAACTGAGCAGAGATACCCACAGATGCGACCTCAACCTAACAGATGACATCAACAACCCTATTGCTCTGCTCTGTCCCCTGCTATATCCATTCATACATGCTCTCAAATAGACCTCGCCTCAAAGTCAGAAAGTGTCTGTTTGAAAAACATCTATAAACAGTAACTTTGGAGCCACAATTGCCAGCCTCCAGTCTCTGGTTGGTCGGGGCTGCTATATTTAACATGGCTGTGTATAAATAGGTTCAAAATAGAGCGAGGGTGGACATAGCTGGCTCACATGGGCCCGGGCTGAAAAACACCACGCTACAACCCCCGATGTCTGGATTGCGGTTGGGCTATCCTGCATTTAAAACTTCATTTTGTGGAAACACCCATGTCTGTCCCATCCCTTCTTCATGCCTCGCTCTTCCAAACCCATTTGTCTTTTGGTGAAGCTGCTTGGGTCGGGTGGGACTGTGGAGAAGATGAGGGGTGGATGAGGATGTCTACCTAGCCTTCACTCTTTAGAGACAGTGATATAGGATTAGTTGTGTATGAGGGTGTCCACATAGCCAAGAGCCCTGTGTCTGAGGAACTGAACTGAACATCTGTCTGTTTCACTGACCAGAAGGGGTCTGCCAATACGTCCCGTCCATCGAAGGAGTAGATTGGGATGTTTGGCGGGAATTTGCCTCCACCCCCAGTGAAGATAGACTTGTAGTTACTGAACAAAATGTCGCCCTGTGGATATAGAAAGGAGTAATTGAGTTGACTCTGACACTTTATTTGTTAAAGGTCCAACACAGACCTTTTTATCTTAATATTAAATAATTTCTGGTAAAAAATAAACCAAAATAATTTCTTAGCAAAGACCAATTTCTCAAGCAAGACTTTTGCTAGGACTGTCTGGGAGTGAATGGGGAGGGAAAAAACTGAAAACTAGCTGTTATTGGCAGAGAGGTTTGGAACTCTCTTTCTTATTGGTCTATTAACTAATTTACCACCAGGCAGGCCAAAACTCCATCCCACCAAAACAGGCTGAAATGTCAGGCGGTCTTTGCAAACAGCTCTTACACTAAAAGGGTATTATCATAATTTTCACAGTATTATTCCAACCTCATAGTTTGGAAAAATATATAAAACACAGGAAAATCCTCCTTTTGACTGAACTGGTCCTTTAACACTGATCTTAGATGAACCTATGGGAAACAGAGGTTGGCTTACCCTGAGGTTGGTAACGGGGTAGCTCTCCCTGAACTTCTGTGGGACCAGGTCTTTATTAACGGCCCGGGGTTTTGGGGAGGATAGGAAGGCCCGATAATAAGCGGACAAGCCCATGGCCTTGGCCTGTTCATAGCACATCCTGTCTGCTATGTTGACCCCACCAAAGTTCCCTGTGTGGGGCTGGTTCAGAGCCACCATGTTGAGCTGAGGAAGAGACAGTGGAATAAGGGTCATTCATTAGTGTGTATTCTAAACCTCCACCTCACTCAGAGTGGTCCTTCGAGCCGGATACTACTCCAGGTGGTCAAGGTATCCAATAAATGGATGCACACACCCACATGTGCACACACACACACACTATTCTCATCTCTCTTTGGTCATGGTTTCCCAAACTCAGTCCTGGTGCTAGGGCAAAAAACCAGGGGTGGGGTGTGTGTGTGTGTTGGGGGGGGGGGGGGGGGGGGTGCGAGGACTGAGTTTGGGAAACCATGATGGTCTTGTCAGTGCTGTTGAAATGGGAATGTAGCAGTGTAGCATGGTACAGTCTTCTTTTGTGAAATGTGGATCTAAATTTCTAAAACCTAAACCTGGCCTGCCTCGGGCTGTCCTTCAATGACAGCACACAGACAGTAATTTAGTCTAAAAGTGGAATACTCCAAACCACAGCAAAATCACATTTTGACTCCAGCTCATTTTGTGGCCAGACTTGAGCCAAACCGATGACTTGCTTTCAAGAACGAATAACAAAGATTACATTTCAGACTTATTCTCCATTTTTGCATCTAGCAGTTTACTAGATACAAACTAGAAAGCAGACAGTTATAAGAAAGTATTTTAATTGACTGTTTCTTTGCTCCAGTGCAACGTTTCGTAAGAAAAAGTGGTGAAACAAAAGTTAAAGTAAATATTTGAGTAAGAAAGAATTTTCAATAGAAGTGTAAATAAAGAGAGGTTTATGTTTTAAAAAACCTTTTATTGTCCCCCTATGAAATAACAAGAGCAAACTTAGCACAGTTGCAAACGCTAGGTCAATCTTGTCTTAATTTGTCAACAAACTCACCCCATATTTTCTGGCGCTGCCTGGCTGAGCCTAAGGGGGCAAAAGTGTATTACTAACTAGATTATAAACATAAAAAGCAGCAATCACACAGCATATTCTGCTATAAGTATCCATTATATGGAGGTCTACAATGCACTTTCACATAAACAATGCATTGATGTCAATGGGAGAATTGTGCAGAAAATTCATGCAGTTGAACATGTTCAATCCTCATCTCAACTCTACTGTTCTTACCTCGTCATTTAGAAGGAGATTAATTGGGAGGGAGATCAAGTCACCAAGCTGTAGAGACAGAGACACAGATAAACACCAAACACATCAGTTTGTTTCACGGCTCATAGAGACACTATAGAGACATGGAGGAGAAGGACCAGAGATGCTGCTGTACCAGGACTTCCTTCCATCCCTGTTGCACCCGGATGTAGAGTTTGCCTGTCCCCGTGGTGAAGCTTAGGGTCCCCTCGCTGCTGTCTATCGTCTGTTGCATCATGACCTCGCTGGAAGGAAACGTCTTCAACTAAAGGAAAAACATAGAGAGAAACACATTATTAGACTGGGACGAAGTATAGGAATATAGTAATTGTTGGGGAGACCGTGGCCAGAGTGATTGAGGGAAGGACAGCAATATCTAGCATGTCAGAGGTTATTTGATGATGTGACGGAGCTGATGTGATAATGTAACAGAGTTGACAATTTTATGGTATGATGGGATGACATTGATGGGGCAGATATGTGGCGGCGTAACTGAGGGGACAGACTGACTGACCATGGCAGAGGTCCCAGGAGGTCCAGCCGGGCCAGTGGGGCCTGGTGGTCCATGGATGGTCACAGCTGGAATTAGAAAAATGGGAGACAAACACAACGGTAACATTTTATTATGTGATGCTAGTCAGCATATTGTACCATACGGAACATTTCACAAAGGGTGCCACAAGTCTTACCTGAGCCAAATCGAGAGGGTGTTCCGGGGGGTCCGGGACGCCCTTGGGGGCCTTGAGGACCAGGTCTCCCATACCCAGGAGTACCAGGAGATCCCGGAACGCCTGGATAGCCACGGGGCCCCATAACAGCTTCCCCTTTGGGGCCCTGAAACAAACCCAGTACTTTAGCAGATATTCATCTCCAAGATCTTACATTGAATTAATTAATGGAACATGGTGACTTATTGAACCCCATGATGCTGCGTGGTTATTTAAATGCAGCCAGTAGGAAAAAATCCCCTATTGTTGCATGCAGCATTTTAATTTAGTAAGAATTGGCAAAACAATGTATTATTTTGCACACAACTTGGATTTCCTTTCATGTCAATTCTGCGTTTTGCCACCGTGGCCAAATTCAAAATCCTCATTGCTCACACAACCCAATTGCCTATCTAGCACACCATCAAAAGAGGTCATAGACTGCAATAACGCCCTCAAATTAAGATGACACTGATTATGTACTATCTCATGTGTCTATGTTGTATCGTGATCTTCTCAGTAATTGTAATTGGTCAAAGCTGTGGTTGGTGGGCGGGGCTTTGGAAGCATATGGTCTCAATGGAAACGGGACTCACCACCAGTCCTGATCTCCCAGGCATACCAGGTGGGCCCGGTAACCCGGCCTCCCCCTTTTCTCCCTTGTCCCCCCTGAAGCCCTGGTCCCCTTTATTCCCCTGTGGATAGACAGACACATAGACACACAGACTGTGAGAGCTCCAGGAAGTAAACAGCACACACGCACGCACGCACACAGCAGAACCAAATATTCAACTTACCATAGTTCCTTTGGGAAGCATTGTAACTGCAGGAAAAACACATCATCCATTGATTATTAAAGATAATCTAATAATAATTTAAAAGTAAATAATATCCCTGTGTGCATGAATAATACCTGTGTCCTTATGACAGATTATAACATGTATTCTTTATATTAAAATTAAAACAAAATCATACTGTAGGTAAACAGTAATATATCTATCTATCTATCTATCTATCTATCTATCTATCTATCTATCTATCTATCTATCTATCTATCTATCTATCTATCTATCTATCTATCTATCTATCTATCTATCTATCTATCTATCTATCTATCTATCTATCTATCTATCTATCTATCTATCTATCTATCTATCTATCTATCTATCTATCTATCTATCTATCTATCTATCTATCTAATCTATCTATCTACCGTGACTCACGTGATGGGGCAGGCATCCCAGGGAAGCCCCTCTCCCCCTTGTCCCCTTTGGTCCCAGTTGGAAGACAGTTAGCCCCACCTACAGGTCACATAGCGAATAACAGGTGAGCCTTTGGCATTCATATCAGAGAATACAGCATAACAAAGTAATTGCAAATGGATTCATCAAAAGAACACGACTGGCTGCAAAAGATTAACGCAACCATACTTATCTCCTGAGTCCAAGCAGACAAAACAGAAAGTTAGTCTGTCTTTTAAAAATCACAAAAGATCAATACTTTTTCTTTGCAGTTACTAAATAATGATGATCAAAATTGGAAGTACTATCCAAAGGTGCAGAATGATGGGCAATTACTCTTCTTTTACGCATATTTCCTCAGACAATTTCATACACATCAAATCAAATATTATTCCTGACAATTTTTATTTGATTTTTTAAGCACATTCTGTGCATGATTCATTAATCGGTATCATCACAATCCAATTCCATGTATTCAATGCAAAGGCTGGTTCCATTGGTGCACAGAAACACTATCCACAATAGAAATAAGGAAAGGTGAATACAATGGAGGAACACAACTGATATGAATGTATAAGCCTCAATCCACACCAAAGCAATGCTCTATCATGGAAGGTCACAATGTCGAAGATGATTACTTAGAAGTAACCCAACTTCATTCTCTGCATCTCTGCATGTCCTCAATATTGTAAAAGATACCATATATTGTACATGGTATGACACTGATGGAGTGATTTATACTTTTTTGCAGTATTATTTACTGATTGCCGGAAACAGCGAACACAATTGCATACATTTCTCTTCTGATGAAAACAATGTGTTGTATTCTGTGAACAGAACACTTTAACAGTGTATTTTGTATTCACTGATGCCATTTGTATTTAATGGTGAGAAAAACTGTAACAAAGAAATACATCTCATTTATTTATTTATGTTGTTCTGAAATGTTATGTCATATCCAGAAAGTCCTTCAACTCACCATTTGTTGAGCTCATAGAACCATTTATCTGCAAAAGTGAAACAAACATGTTAAAAGACATGAGACATATTGGATTTTTTTATGCAGGAACAAGAACAGGAACAGTGAAGCATGGAAACATCACATCATCCATTTCAGACACAAACAAAAACATTATACATGATGAACAAGATGAATCCAAGACAGCTATTATACTGTATCTACAGTATATAATATTTCATATTATATGTTGAGTTCACAGTGGACGGGTTAATCTATCTGTATTAAAATGGAGAGTTAGAAGAATGAACAAAAATAACATCTAAAACATGCCAGTGACCACCACCACCCTGGATGAAATATGCTTTTTTAAGATGGCCCCCAAGAAAGACAGGAGATGCCAATCACACTTGGCTCATCTCACTTCTGAAAGACCTTACATAGTAAGTACATTCATTTCGTTATGTTGTATTTCAGAACACTATTAACCTGGTATTTACTACAAAATTACATGGTTATAAAATCTGGAATTCTTGGAAATTACCACACGTCTCACCAAATACCAGGCAAATACATCCTGCAATATAAACTGTTAACATTAATTGATTTTGTTTTGACACTAGTGCATCTGCTAAAAATGTAAATGTTGTAATTTTCATGAATGTTTAATATTCAATCTTGGGGACCATCCTGCATTTTGTTAGTGTCTTCCCAATGAAACACCAACCTATGGAAGAGCAAACCCACACCACATGACCACCATGTCCATATGGCATGCAGCATGCTAGGAGTGATCCTCTATTCACGCCTGGAATAGGTTAGGGACCATGGATGCAACATGCACATTCCCCTTTTATGATGGAGAAGTGAGGAAAGATACTACACAGATTGAACAAGTAACTGTGAGACAGAGAGAGAGAGAGAGATACAAAGTGTTTGTGTGTGTGTGTGTGTGTGTGTGTGTTTTTGTGTGTGTGTCTGTGAGTGAGAGAAAGAGAGAGAGAGCGAGAGAGAGAGAGAGAGAGAGAGAGAGAGAGAGAGAGAGAGAGAGAGAGAGAGAGAAAGAGAGAGTGAATGAGTAATGGAAAGAGTGAGTCAGAAAGAAAAGGTATACTCCACAGAGACAGACAGACAGGCCTGAGCTCAGCCTGCCCACCGCTGTGCTGTCAGTCACTTACGGCCTTTTTGCAGTGTGGTCTGGGAGGGATGGGAAAAACTGTCTTCAAAACACGTAGGGGAAGAAGGAGACAGTGAGCACAGGAGAGCTACAATACCTGACGATGACATGGACAAACATGGATATAGGAAGGGGGTAGGGGGGGTCGGGGGGGTCATACTTACTCCTTTGGGGCAGTTGAACATTCCGGGACGTCCTGGAGGTCCGGGAGGGCCAGGGGGCCCCTGAGAACAGAGAGATAACAAGACAGAGAGACAGAGAGGAAGAGGAAAATTAGAGTTGAATGGACAACATACTGGTTCAGAAGTCCAATTCACATCCACCTTGGAGTGATCAAGGTCCTTCTGAATCACTCACCCACAAACCTTCATAGTGAAACAACCCTTGATCTGCACACATGGACTTCAGATATGACCACAAGGGCTCTGCCCTTTTGCCCTCCTATGAGAAAAGTGCCCTTTTAGATTGGTCGATTTTCTTTACTAATGTATTTTAATCTTACTTGTAGTCTATTTTCTCCCCTGTTCTGTAAAGAACTGGCCATCAAACTAGCTAATTTAATCTTGGAACATTCCCCCTCCCCGCTCCTCTACCCCCACGTGAGCGCGCACTGCACTTGTCCTCCTGCTGCTGCACAAGACACTACTGGCGCCTAGCGGTAGTATGAGTAGTGGCACATTGGCTACTTTTTGAGTTGTATGTATCTCTCACAGTCAGGGAAGGGTTCAATTAGACTGTTTTTAAGTAGGCCTACAACGCGGAAGTTAGCAGCAGAACAAACTCCAATCACAGGTAAAGATACTGCAATTTTGTTTGCGATTTGATGTCCCAAACATATTACTCATTATATGTCTGCTGCAGAGAGACAAGAGAGAGCATGAGAAAACAAGATTTGATCAGTCAGGGAAATAAAAGTGCTGAAAACATGTTGGCTTACTATTTAAAAATATGATGGAGAACCAGATATAGGATGAAAGATGCCTGAGTTTTGGCGCAAGTACAGCCATTTAGCGCTAGCTAATGCTACCTACAGTGGGGAAAAAAAGTATTTAGTCAGCCACCAATTGTGCAAGTTCTCCCACTTAAAAAGATGAGAGAGGCCTGTATTTTTCATCATAGGTACACGTCAACTATGACAGACAAAATGAGAAAGAAAAATCCAGAAAATCACATTGTAGGATTTTTAATGATTTTATTTGCAAATTATGGTGGAAAATAAGTATTTGGTCAATAACAAAAGTTTCTCAATACTTTGTTATATACCCTTTGTTGCCAATGACACAGGTCAAACGTTTTCTATAAGTCTTCACAAGGTTTTCACACATTGTTGCTGGTATTTTGGCCCATTCCTCCATGCAGATCTCCTCTAGAGCAGTGATGTTTTGGGGCTGTCGCTGGGCAACACGGACTTTCAACTCCCTCCAAAGATTTTCTATGGGGTTGAGATCTGGAGACTGGCTAGGCCACTCCAGGACCTTGAAATGCTTCTTACAAAGCCACTCCTTCGTTGCCCGGGCGGTGTGTTTTGGATCATTGTCATGCTGAAAGACCCAGCCACGTTTCATCTTCAATGCCCTTGCTGATGGAAGGAGGTTTTCACTCAAAATCTCACGATACATGGCCCCATTCATTATTTCCTTTACACGGATCAGTCGTCCTGGTCCCTTTGCAGAAAAACAGCCCCAAAGCATGATGTTTCCACCCCCATGCTTCACAGTAGGTATGGTGTTCTTTGGATGCAACTCAGCATTCTTTGTCCTCCAAACACGACGAGTTGAGTTTTATCAAGAAGTTCTATTTTGGTTTCATCTGACCATATGACATTTTCCCAATCCTCTTCTGGATCATCAAAATGCACTCTAGCAAACTTCAGACGGGCCTGGACATGTACCGGCTTAAGCAGGGGGACACGTCTGGCACTGCAGGATTTGAGACCCTGGCGGCGTAGTGTGTTACTGATGGTAGGCTTTGTTACTTTGGTCCCAGCTCTCTGCAGGTCATTCACTAGGTCCCCTGTGTGGTTCTGGGATTTTTGCTCACCGTTCGTGTGATCATTTTGACCCCACGGGGTGAGATCTTGCGTGGAGCCCCAGATCGAGGGAGATTATCAGTGGTCTTGTATGTCTTCCATTTCCTAATAATTGCTCCCACAGTTGATTTCTTCAAACCAAGCTGCTTACCTATTGCATATTCAGTCTTCCCAGATGGTGCAGGTCTACAATTTTGTTTCTGGTGTCCTTTGACAGCTCTTTGGTCTTGGCCATAGTGGAGTTTGGAGTGTGACTGTTTGAGGTTGTGGACAGGTGTCTTTTATACTGATAACAAGTTCAAACAGGTGCCATTAATACAGGTAACGAGTGGAGGACAGAGGAGCCTCTTGAAGAAGAAGTTACAGGTCTGTGAGAGCCAGAAATCTTGCTTGTTTGTAGGTGACCAAATACTTATTTTCCACCATAATTTGCAAATAAATTCATAAAAAATCCTACAATGTGATTTTCTGGATTTTTTTCTCTCAATTTGTCTGTCATAGTTGACGTGTACCTATGATGAAAATTACAGGCCTCTCTCATCTTTTTAAGTGGGAGAACTTGCACAATTGGTGGCTGACTAAATACCTTTTTTCCCCACTGTACAGTAGCAAAACATATATATTTACACTATATATACAAAAGTATTTGGACATCCCTTCAAATTAGTGGATTCGGCTATTTCAGCCACACCCTTTGCTGACAGGTGTATAAAATCGAGCACACAGCCATGCAATCTCCAAAGACAAACATTGGCAGTAGAATGGCCCATACTGAAGAACTTAGTGACTTTCAATGTGGCACCGTCATAGGATGCCACCTTTCCAACAAGTCAGCTCATCAAATTTCTGCCCTGCTAGAGCTGCCCCGGTCAACTGTAAGTGCTGTTATTGTGAAGTGGAAATGTCTAGGAGCAACAATGGCTCAGCTGCGAAGTGGTAGGCCACACAAGCTCACAGAATGGGACCACCGAGTGCTGAAGCGCGTAGCGCGTAAAAATCTCTGTCCTCGGTTGCAACACTCACTACCGAGTATCAAACTGCCTCTGGAAGCAAACATCAGCACAATAATTGTAAAGTTTGGTGGAGGAGGAATAATGGTCTGGGGCTGTTTTTCATGGTTCTGGGTAGACCCCTTAGTTCCAGTGAAGGGATATTTTAAAGCTACAGCGTACAATGACATTCTGGATGACTTTGTGCTTCCAACTTTGTGGCAACAGTTTGGGGAAGGCCCTTTCCTGTTTCAGCATGACAATGCCCCTGTGCACAAAACGAGGTCCATACAGATATGGTTTGTTGAGATCGGTGTGGAAGAATTTGACTGGCCTGCACAGAACCCTGACCTCAACCCCATCGAACACCTTTGGGATGAATTGGAACACCTACTGCGAGCCAGGCCTAATCGCCCAACATCAGTGCCCGACCTCACTAATGCTCATGACTGAATGGAAGCAAGTCCCCGTAGCAATGTTCCAACATCTATTGGAAAGCCTTCCCAGAAGAGTGGAGGCTGTTATAGCAGTAAAGGGAGGATCAACTCCATATTAATGCCCATGATTTTGGAATGAGATGTTCGACGAGCACTTTTGGCAATGTAGTGTATTTTTACAAAATTGTTATGTGGATTTTTACAAATCGATACTTGGAGTAAAATATCAATATAATATCGTCCTTCAATTATTTTGCGATATGTAATTGTATAAATGTTTTCCCCCATCACTAGTAAAGAGTTGTTACAACAGCATAGCTAACAATTAGCTAGCTACTGTAACAAGTTAGCTGATTTACATCATCTACATTCACTCTGATCAGCTGATAGCTGATATAGTTGCCCTCTCTGTGAACTGTAGACTAGGCTGTTTTTGCAAAAATAAATAAAAGGCCTATGCCAGAAATATATATGTTGAAATTTGGCTTCATGAGCCGTAGAGATTTTATGGGTAAATGTAAAAATACATTTATTTTTATTTTTTATTTCACCTGCCCCTCCAAAGCTCTGTGCACGGCCCTGACCACAAGTATATAAGGTCTGGTTAAGATTGGTCAGCCAGTTAAACCAACAGTAAAAGTGAAGTCTGAGACACCACAGCACATGGACGGACCTGAAAAACAAACACAGGGACTTCTGACACATGTTGAGGAAAGATGTCTTGTTAAACGTCAACAAAAGCTATTTTGTTTACGGGGTGCTTTCAAGTGCCCGTCGATAAATAAGCTGGATGTTTTTATCGTATGCTGGGGTTGTCTGGGCACGGGACTGCCTGTTAAACAACTGACCCCAATGCCAACGTGT